TGCTCCTACCTATCTATGGGATGTGCCTTGAGCCCGCACAGCATCCCTGCGTAGTCGGAACCTACCTTCGAGCCAGCTTACCAGCAGCGTGGATGAGGTCGGGTGCAGCGTTGCAGCCTGGTCGGCGTACAGGCACTGACCCCGTTCTCACTCCCCGCTGCGGTTATATACTCGCCCAAAGGTGGATAAGTCCTGTCACTCGGTCTGAGGCTAAAATCGATCGGGCGACAGTGACTTACGGTTCTGACTACGCTGACCTCGACGATAAAGGCGAGTCAAAAGGCGAGCGAAAACATAAAGAACATACCGCGATACACGAATTTCTAGCTATAAACCAAAAGACACATACCGCGATACACCTTAACAAACATACCGCGACACACCTTACAGATCTACGACGAAGCCATTTTACACGATCATGGCCGGCTTGTGAACCAACAAGTCGATCGCATCGTCAACACTTAAAAGCTTAAGACGACGAAGATATAGCCTGAAGTACACTTAATTTTCTAGGTGCAAAACCTACCGCTATAACCCGTGAGGCCTGTCACTGTAAAAAAAAGTTTAGCATTTGGGGTACTAACGGCTGCTATTCGTAGCACCTTTTAGCGTCAAAAGAACCCTACGACGTATTTACAAAGAAGCATGGTGCTAATACCTACTGTGCTAATGATAGCTAACATTCCCATCAAATATTATAAGTTTAGATCACCTATTCTTCTACTGAGCTTAACGTCTACTTCTGCTAGTACCCAGTCCATCAGTGAGTGCTCTTTCAAGCTGGATTTCTAATTAGAACCATTTTAAGCGTTTTAGAAGTTGGTAATGCTGAATATGGTGCTTACGTTAGTATCACAATAGAACCGGACATGCTTACAGAGGAAACAAATTTGAAATTGGCGCCAAAGAAAGTAGCTAAGCCCTGCTTTACAAATCTCTGGGAGTCTTATCACCAGCCCTTTAGCACGTTTTGACGGCGCAGAGCGATATGCGCATGCGCGTGCCAGCTGTTTCCGGCCACGTGTTGCGCCATTTTAGTGGAGTCCGTTGGTCGTGGTGGGAGTGTGTGCACGTGCTCCGGTATATGAAGTGAAATGAAGTGAAGTGAAGTGCTCCGGGCACATGCCACCGAGTGATAGCTCTGGAATGATAGCTTAAATCAGCTATTATCGGTGGAATCCGTCGTGCGTGGCATGGGAGTGCGTGCCCCTGCTCCGGGAGGCAGTGAGGTGGAGGGAAGTGCAGTGCAGCGGTGCAGTGAAGTGAAGTGAAGTGCTCCGGGGCCGGGTGGTACATGAGCATTTGCCACCGACACATCAACATGCCACCGACACCGACGTTGATCGACTTTGGTGAGTCTGACACGTTGTATCTTTTGACATTATCTACTAGGTCGTTCAATAAGTAAGGTAAAATCACACGTATTTCAGTCCATATTTGATGCAACGACACAAAACTAGCAGCATATGTTCATTGAAATATCGTCTACAAATTGGCTATAAGCATTTGTTAGCAAGTTTCTTCGGCCAGCCTCCCCAGCCTTCGGAACTGGCACCTACATCCAATCACCGTTCAGGCGCACGCGCTTATCCCAGCACTCCACCCGGCGTTGAAATCCTGCTTGGAAAACTCCTTATTGCTATTCCAAAGCTATGTCTTGATTATTTTATCGATTGTCTGATCAGTTAAGATTCCGGTGGTCCAAAACAGGTTCAAGTGGGACGGCGCAAGATCACGGTTGTACTTCAGCTTTCCTGTACTGCTAAAGCAAAGCCGATCCCACACTGATGCCTCGCTGGGCGTCCTTCTGTTGTTCAGTGAGCTCTTTGGCTTTATTAACCTCGTGATGACCTTGTAAATATCAAGCATATCTGATGATGCCTAGAACTGTTCCTACATGACACTTTACTCTGTAAATGAAAGCAGTCACGCAGATGCTTCGGGTCTCCATAATCAGCTCCCCGGCTTTACAGATTGCGCCTTAAGTCCAGAGAGGCCTGCGGGCACAAGTCTACCCTGCTCTAGAACTTTGTCTCTTACACTGCTGTGTTCTTGTTGAAATCGTACCAGCTGTTCACCAGCAAGCATTGCCTATGGCAATAGCGTCATCAGGGTCAACTCGACTCATTTTGAGGTGAATTTTGGCTCGCGTGACAAACCGGGGATTTTTAGAACGGAACTCTGCTACATCAATGTTTTCACACCGACCGTGTTCGGACAATAAGCCAAACTCCTAAAAACAGTTTCGAAGGTTGTGTAGAAAATTGTTCAAAGAATCAGAAGGCATTTTTGATTTTGCTTGAATTCCTCATATAAATGAACTATGGTACATTTTACCTTACTTATTGAACGACCTAGTAATATTGTTTAAGTGCTTCATATTCCGACTTTGGCAAATCGCGCTTCTTGGTCTGAAGGAAAGTTGTGTTGTTTGCGAAAATAGCTCCCAACAGAAAAAAAATCTTGAAACTGATCCAGTTTTTTTTTTTGCTCCAGGCATGGGGCCTGGTCAGTTCTTCCGTCGACTACCACTTACAATGGAGGACAACTACGACAACAACACGGGGTCTCCGATTCCGTCTATCACTAAACGCCGTCTGGTCGTGGATGAGGTCGAACTTATGGCCATGAACGGAACGTCGGTTCAACGCCCCCCCCCCCCGCCTCCCCCAGTCGATCTCGCGTTAATCGTCGGTCACTGCGCGTGTGCAGGTATATGAGCGACCTTTCGTTATTTCCCGTGCGTTTGTTTGTGTATATATTTACATTTGTTTTTCATGCAGATGATATGAAGTGTTAATAAATGTTCCATTATTATTTTTTTAATGTTATAATGTGTTGGATGCTTGAAAGATGCACTTTCACGGGAATATTGCAGAATGCAAAACACAATCATTGAGACTTGTAGTTATCACTTATCTAGGATATAACCTTTTTTGCACGTCTTTTCGGCCTTACACAATTTCCTTTTTGGTAATTGATCAGTCCTTTTTGCAGTACTAGTGAAAGTATGTGCTGCTAAAGAAAGCAGTTTTTGCGAACTTTTCATGCAGCAGCTTTAACTAGTATAGATATTCTACTTTCAGCCCCAATGCTTTCGTTAGCATTATTCTACTTGTCGTGGGGTAACAATAGCGCTAAAACGGTTCATATGTGAGTACGGAAGGTACTAGAGATGTCAATCGGATACCAACTTTTTGGGATACCGATACCAAACCGATACCAACTTGGTATTTGGTATTTCAATCGTAATGTGTTTGGTATTTTGTTGGTATCATGAACCCTCACTAATGTATAAGAGGGTAAGGAATCGGTAAAAAGTTGGTATTTCCCTCATTTTCCCAAGTTGGTTTGGTTTCGGTATTTCCCCACGATTTTGGTTAGTATTTGGTTTGGTATCGGTATTCCAATTTTCCGTAATTGACACCACTAGAAGGTACTAACTGCATGCTATTCTTAGCACCTTTTATAGTTTAGCACCGCTAGGGTACTGAAAATTGGTCTAGCAGGTGTAGGGTACTACATTTAGTACACGGGTGCTAAACAAATATGGGTACTTATATTAGCACCTTGGTACTAAACTAGATCTCAGTTAAGTACGAATAAAATGCTTAGCTTAGCACCGCTAGGGTACTGAAAATTAGTCAATTGAAAAGTACCTCTATGGTGCTAAACTTTTTTTACAGTTTACTTTTTAGTGTATGTAAGTAGAAGTACGGATAGTAACTCGCCACGTCAGTCGTCATGCATAGGCCCGTGGTACAAACAAATTCGTCGAATGCAACATTATTATTATTATTCAAACTTAACCTTCCAGGCGGTGGGGGGACATTTTTTTGCCCCCCCCCCTTTTAGTTTTTTCGATATATCTCGAGAACCGCTGCGCCGATCGTCACCAAACTTTCAGTACCATCCCGGGAGTAGCTAGCGCACATGGTGACCAAAATTTTTTCCAAAGGCTATGATAGGTTGGCCGCTAATGACGTCAGAGTGACGTCATTTTTGCCATTTTCGACCCCAAAAAAGGTTTCGCGGGAAGCAGGAGGAGCTGTCAGGCCTACAGCTTTAGAGATACAGAAACATGTTCCGACATAAAAGGTGTGGGATCAAAAGGGCTACAAAACTGCTCTTTCGGTTTTTCGAATTGTTTGGATTTTGACCCACAAAAATAGAAAAATAGATTTTTTGAATATAGGTATTACCGAAAAATCCAAAAGGTTTTTTGAATTTCGAAAAAACGGAATATATCTGATAGTCCCTACCGCCTTCTATCTACATACCAAATTTGAGATCAATACCTCTTTTTTTTGGCCAAGTTATAGCAAAAAAACTGTTCAAAATTGATGACGTCAAATTTTCAAACTCAATTTTTAGCAATTCTAGACCTCGTAGCGCAAAACAAAGACCACCATTAGACTCCCCGTGACGAGCTGCATCGAATCAATACCGATTTATGCAAAAATATCAACTTTGAACTTTGACCTTTTTTTACCTGACCTTGACCTGACCTCCACCAGAAAGTGACCTAAACCGTACCTGATGGTCTTATAACCAACACCATTGAGTTGAAAATGAAAAACTGGCCATAAAACATGCATCGCACAACCTTAGTAAAGTTGGGTTCATGTGGTGACCCTTGGTGACCTGACCTGTGACCTGACCTGGTATGACCAGTGACCTCTTATAGCAACATATGTACTGACAACATATGTACTGACAAGATGAACTGACATAACTGACGCCTTATCGCTGATTTTCGACAAAATGCGTTTTACTCGGTGTTATAGCGCTTTCCCTAGAAGCCCCGTGAACGGTGAAACATTTTATCTTTGACCTGACCTGTGGCTGTGACGTCATCGGTGACCCCGAGGTCAATGAAATTTGGTATGTCCCTTTGGCAAATTTGACAGGGCTATCGAATGCCGTTTGAATTTTCCGGATCCGTCCAGTAGTTTCGGAGATATGGGAGGGGGCAAAAAATGCCCCCCCCCCCGCGCGGAAGGTGGCAGGGAGGCCCACCGCCTGCCGGGTTAAAAAGAATACATTGGCTTATACCTATCTTCTATGTACATTGTACATTGACATCACAGATAATTGTACAATAGATGATTCGCCCGATTCATAGGACCATATTGGCGGAGAAGCCCCGGGCAGGCGGCCGTTTCCGCACGAGCAGCACGTCGTGTATGAGCGCCATGGGCTGCTCCCGACCGGGGAACTTCCACAGGTCTCCGGCCGCCAGCGGCGCACTGTGCACCAGCTCGAACCCGAGCAGCTCCAGCTGGCGCAGCGCGCTCCCCAGCATCCGGTAAAAGGTCAGCTCGCGCTCCACCCGACTGCGCAGCTGCAGCCGCAGCGACATCTGGTCGACGCGGTCGAGCACGAACCGGCGGCGGCGGCGCGACTTGGGGTCCAGCAGCTGGTCGAACAGCATCTCCGTCTCCAGGCCGCCGAGGTCGGAGCGCAGGTAGTGCACCTGCTGCTGCGTGTGGTTCAGCTCGCGCATCAGACCGTCCAGCGTCAGCACCAGGCCGCCCGACGCCACGTAGGTGGTCCGGCCGACGCCCAGCCGCCGGAACAGCACGTGGTACGAGTGCTCACCCTCAGGCTCGGCACGCTCGCGGTGGTCGAGCACAAACACGTGACAGTCCCGGCGTGCCATCTGCTCGGCGAACGTCCAGTCGCCGCCGGCTACACCGAGCTGGTAGACGAGACAGGGCGTGCGTCGTCCGCCGGCCACCGTCGGCGGGTCGGCGCACACAGGCAGCTCGGGCCGCACGCCGTTCCCGGAGCGGCGCGGCGCGCCCAGCATCTGCAGCCGGTCGCAGCGGCCGCTGGCGCTCTCCAGCCAGGCGGTGATGCCTCTCAGCAGCGCCAGCTCGGCCGCCGAGAACTGGGTGTCGTTCCAGGCGGAGGCGCGCCACACGCCCGAGCCGGGCTGCGTCTCCTCCATGACGTACTCGGTGAGTACCATGGCGCGCAGGTCGGCCGACGGCGCCTCCGTCGGCGCCCCGGTCGAGTGTCGCACCACCACACTGTGCGGAGACGGAGGGTGGAGCGGTGCTGGGCTGAACACCACTGGCGGTCGACCGCCGCCCCTGAGCGGCTCCTCCGACCTGTCCAAACACAAACAGACGCGTGAAGCACACCGGCTTCTCCGAACTGCACAAACACAAACACACACCTCAAACACACCGCCTCCATCGAATTGTGCAAACACAAACATATGCGCGAAACGGGCAGTTTCCTCTATAATTTGTGTCAACACAGGTAGGTGAAGCTAGTGTCGAGAAAACGTGATGCGATTCACTAGTATGCAAATACGAATGACTTTCACTGTTTCATATGTGCACATGGCATGAAGGAGGCGGCGTTTATGTGACCAAAAAATGCGCATTTATAGGTATGCTACGGTGCAAAAGTAAGCATTCTACCCACTTTTCTAAAAAACATGTTTTATTAAAAACACGGATTACATGTAAACTTCTTCGAATTTAATTTTCGGCTTTTCCCAATGCACCTTTATGATGGTACAATCATAAAAAATAACAATGCGAACATTTATGCATCACAGTGAAACGACAGTCGCTGAATTATTCCTGCCCCGCCCCTCCATTTCACTCGACACTCCCCCGCGGAAAACTTACCAAGGCTGGCGCCTTTCAAAGCTGTTGAGCACGAAGAGAGTGCCGACTCCCGTCAGCAGCAGCGAGAGAGCGAGACGGCGGCGCAGCGGGCGCATGCTCACCCTCCTGCAGCCTGGGGTGACTCACTCGCTCCAGGTATAGGTCACCTGCACTCTGCAGTCTCGGTGAAACATGCATGCAGCTCCGGTGGGACTCTTTAGATACGTTCTGTACAAATCTGACGTTTTCGTGTCGTGCAGTTTTCTCTCAGCGAGTCGGGCTGGATAAGTCCGGATGAAGCACAGTATTTATTTGCGTTACGCGTGCTGTATGCGTAGGTACGAGTCCGAGTCGAAAGTCCGAGAAAGGTCCGATTCGAGTCTCCGCTGTCAGGGTAGAATCCAGCAGAGTCCAGCTCGATTGGATCGAGTCTGGCGCGAGTACGGGTCGAGTCTGACTAGCATCCGGATCGAGTCCCAGGTCGCCGGCCCAGTGTGGTTGGTGTACCGCTAGAGTCCGAACTGCAGCAGCAGTTCGGACTGCAGCAGCAGGCCGCTCGGCCACGCCCAGCCGACGGATACGAGTTCGTCGATAGCCAAACACTACCACAGCACGTGAGCACAGGTCGCGGAGGTGCGCCACAGCGAGAGGCGTGCGATGCACTGCACTGCGCGGGCCGGACGGGCGTACGGCCGCACCGTGTGCTGCTTTCTCCAGCGGCGGCGGTGGGGTGGCTATTCGGCACACCGCTGCATCGTGCCGCCCGGGAGTACGGCAGCCGGTGGCCGCGGACACGCGCCGGCACCGCACCGTCGTGACCTAGCGGACTGGAACGGTGGACGAATGGCGACCGCGGCCGGCAGCGGCACAGCTGAGCGTCGACCGTGCAAAAGATGAGCCGATGCAGTGTGGACAGAGCTCCTGCACGGGAAATCTGACCTCGTTCCACGACGCTCGAATAGATTATGTATGCGGTTTAGTGGGAACTGCAGGCTTCAACCCCGTTCGATTGTTTATTTTCGTTTTTTATTTTTATTTGTAAAACAGTTACAACCACCTGTTACGTGAGGTAGGAGCTCTGTTAAAATTCGACAGCCCGTTATCCCAAATTCTATAAAAAGTGTATTGGAGAAAAGCCTTTACGGCGCTCTCACCTCTCACCTCGGTTCCTGCCAGGGCTGCGGAGTCGGAGTCGGAGTCGGAGTCGGAGTCGGTCGGAGTCGACAGTTGTGACCGGAGTCGGAGTCGGAGTCGATTTTAGAAACCCGAGCCGGAGTCGGAGTCGGAGTCACCGAAAATCTGTCGACTCCGCAGCCCTGCTAGGTCTGCGGAGTCGGAGTTGGGAGTTGGAGTCGGTCGGAGTCGACAATTCTGCCCGGAGTCGGAGTCGGAGTCGGAGCTGGTTTTTGAAAGCTGGAGTCGGAGTCGGAGTCGGAGTCGCCGAAAATCCATCGACTCCGCAGCCCTGGTTCCTGCCCCACCAAGCAACAACAGCGGTAAGCGGCACAAGAAAGTAGGTACATAATACAAATAATTCAAAATAGTTCCTCGGTCATGAACGAGCATAGTCACTGATCACTAACTGGACGGGGGCCTCGCGCAAAAAACTAGCGTGTGTGTTACGTGACGTAGCAATGCGTACCCACTACCCAATCGCTAGATCTCAGGTCAACAGGTGACCCCCGAGGTCACCGGTCACCGTTACAGCCTCCAAACGGGTTCGTCTTTTTAGCCGAATAACTTCGCCATACATGACTGCAGAACTGCGATGTTGGCAGCATCGTGTTCGCCATGTTCCGGTGTATTACATGATATTCTTTCTGTTCGGTAGAGGTCATTTTACTGTGTTGACCTGAGGTCAAGGTCAGGTCAAAGCCGCTTAGGTCACGAATTGGTCGAAGGATCAAGGGTGTCGTGTTGGATGTCGCTCTCGCTCGATTCAGGAACTCTTAGCGCTTTTATCGGTGGCTTTCCAGCCGCTTACTTAATTTGATTGGAAGTTATTGACAAAAACTCTTATGACCGGCTCAGTGACGTCATGCAAAGTCGACGATGCAAAAGCGAAACATTGGACCTTTCAAGGGGTGCATGAAATCACAATTCCATGTGCTTGACCTTGAGGTAGTGTAAGACCGTTCCCAGCGGCCGGCGACAAAGAAACAGTTTCCATATTTCCCCCATTGAGTTATGCCTTATGGTGAGGTCATGTGAGTGACCTGACCTCAGGAAACCGTTTTGATAAATCCGAGATGCAAGTACCTGTTTTCCGTGCTGGGAAGTTACCTAATACCTGCAAGTTTCATTTCCTTGCAGTGCACACGATTCTCCACCGCTGACGGCATTGCAAGGCGACATTTTAGGACACTGCAGATGTGCACTTATGACGTCAGAGGTCGGTGACCTGGTCTCCACTAAAAATGCCATGAGTGTCGAGGACGGTTCGACTTGAATCAAAGATTAGGGATGCCAACCTTCAACTTACTATTCTATTCTATGATGCGTTCTAAGCAGTCGTGAAATAAATAAATAAAAACGTAAAGGGGTATCACCATCCCCTCGGCCGTGACAGGTTGAAGGCGAAGAGGTTCGACATTACCACTAACCACCCCATCCCCTCGGCTATTGATATAGGAGAAATAAATGTCTGCGGGTGTTGATCGATTTCACGCTCAATAACAAGTAAAATATGAACCATCGTTTCGTGATCGTCCCATGCAGACGTTGTAGTTGCGTTCTCAATCGACTTGGCACCCACCCGCGCAGCGGGTCACAGCCCGACTCCCCGTTCCGATGCGGCGGCACGGCCCCAGACAGCGACAACTTGGCCACAGGGGTCGCTCGTGGGCCCCTCCTCGGCCAGGTACGGACCTCAGTCCACGACGGAGGAGGAGACGCCGACATAAAATTCAAGCAACTTCAATACCAGTGTGCCTAAAACAACAAATGATTGGCGATTGCACTGTGGTCACTCACTTTATTATTGTAATAAATGATATTCAGCTGCTGAATTTTACATGCTTATCATCTTTCAGGAAAAAGTAAAGAAAATTGCAAGACTACAGTCTACAGGTATATATTAAGCCAAAAGTCAAAGATATTCATCCACAAGATAGACCTATTGCTATGCAAGTGTTGCATAATTTTGTATACAGGCTGATCATGATCAAACAACATATCACAGACCATAGACCCAGTCAGTCTCCTAACAGACAGGGATTATAATATAGATTCAAGCTTCCTGGCACAAGATCATACAGTGGCATCAATACACTTTCTATGAACAAATTGTGTGACTTGACACCATGTTTCCCTCCCTTTTGGTAACAGTTCTACAGCTTTGGTGCCTGTTGCCACTTGCATAGCTAGATGCTCTTGCATGACCACTTTTTCCTCCATGAGAAAAAGCACTTGCATGAGAACCAAAGAAGCTATCACCAGAAGCAAATGGATCTGGTCCACCATGCATGAAGAAGTTTCCTTGGCCAAAGTTGTCAGCAAAAATATCATCAAAGTCAAAAGCATTCATTCTTTGATGGCCTCCAAATCCTCTCCTGCCATTTGACCCATGATGCTGCTGATTATGATGGGCATGATTTCGCTGACTTCCACCATGTCCAAAGCCTCCAAAACTGTGACCAAAGCCTGACATGATATCATCATCAAACATCTTCATGATATCATCAAGGTCAAAGAAATGTGCATGCCCTTCACCTCCAGGTCCCTCAGAGAAGTGATACTCTCCTTCATTATCATATTGTTTTCTCTTCTTTGGATCTGAAAGCACTTCATAAGATTCTGATATTTCCCTGAATTTTTCACTTGCCCCTTCCTCCTTGTTCTTATCTGGATGATACTTCAGAGCAAGTTTTCTGAAGGCCTTCTTGATCTCCTTTTCTGATGCACTTTTGCTGACTCCCAAGACTTTGTAATAGTCTTTCTTCCCCAGCACTGAGCATGCTTGGGCAAAACATATGATCAGAAACAAAGTGCCCACATTCATCTTGATCTTGAAGTGTCACAATTTCAGCTTCTGCTACCTTCAGTTATATAAAGTATCAATATCCTTCCTTGCTTCCTGACACACACGAACCACGGTTTCAGTTGCCACAATTGATCTTGATCTGTCTTCAAACTATGATAAGACAAAATGCAGAAAATGATGTCAGGTTGGACACACAGTTGATTTTGTGGCAGACCAGAGTTATTCAAGCACTCCCCGCAGGACCAGTCACAACAAATCTATTGAAATCTATGAGCGCGAAGTCAAATACATGACGAAAATCACTTTGTAAACAAACCTGTGCGCATGCGCGAAAACACCACGGACGTGGGCCAATACGCGGTCAGGAATATCCTCAAGAGTATAAAGATTGATTATTTAGTTTAAATTTCGTATCATTTTTTTCAGACTATTCACAAATTTGTTGTTTAATTTTTTCCTTATTCAGAAAAAAATATTAATCTTAAGATAATTTTCGTACATGACCCTCAAATCGTTCATTTCTTTCGCTCAACCAGTTTGTCGCCATTTCTGGCGCAAAAGTTTCAAATACATTTTCCTCGAGCGTATTTTGAATTCACCATAGGGCTCAGCCATTCCTAGAGGAATTCTAGGCACCTTGGAAAAAAGCGAAATCGCGCTAGGGATTTCAGCCGATCTGGCAGCTCTTCCGATGCCACTGGCGCGCCTTTTAATCCAAAGCGCCTTTTTCGTGTCTCATGTTTGCTCGTTTATTGCGGAGGCCTATATATGCTTCAAGATGCTGGAAAAGGTTGGTGATTAATAAGTATTTCCATTTTAGGTGCATGTTCTTTGCAAGAAATACAGTTGTTGTTGCTGTTGTTGTGGGTTAGGGCGCAAGAAATACAGGTATATGTCAAGTTTAGGTCCTAACTATAACTGTGACGCTGTTGATACAAATCTGTAACAGCAAAAAAATTATGTTTTAGGTTACGTTAGGCTGTAAGTTTTAGGTTGCATTGTAGGTTTGTAGGTAGTAGATTGGTAGGTTATAGGTGAAAAGGTAAGGTTAGTTCAGGTTTGATTATGTTTTTCTTTTAGTTACGAGACATATAAGTATCATTTTTGGATTCAGGATGTCAAATAATGGTCGGAAACACTAAATTCAAAATTAACTAATTTTGAAGCGGGGACCTCCATGTGTACCGGCCAAATAATGTAAGAATATGAAAAAATTATCCATGAAATCTGCTTAGGACTTAAACTTGACATTTACCCACATGGCTATAGGTATCACCAGCAGAATTATAATCTTTACATAGGTAATTTTTAAGAAATGCTGTAAGTGAAGATTATGAGTCGTGTAACCATTGTTACTATATTGATATTAAATATTGAATAGGTACAAGTCCGCCACTAACTTTATGGAACATTCCTTCTTCCAACAGGATCACTTCCAAGTAATCTGGAAGGCTGATGCCAAGTACATCTTGTGCGAGAAGCTTGATATGATTCCTGACCTGGAACCGGTGAGCATCAAATATAGCAATTTGCTTAAAGCAATAGCAATTGCCGATGATGGCAATTTCAATTTGCAGTAACACATATTATATGTAATTGGTTTGAGCCATGTTGCAATCATTTCATGAATGAAAACTTCCATTTTTAAAATGGAACTATCAACTTTCCCCACAGGCTTCGGTAACAAAGTTTTATCAATTGTGAATGACAATATTATTGGTATGAGTGGTGTGTGCGGTGATCTGTATTTGAATATAACGCGTCTTGTCACTAAGTATTTGTCATCTGCATTATAGCTGACTATTACGGTAATACGATCGTGCATTGGTCCCAGACAAGAATACCCCAGTGAGACCTTGCATTATTTCGTTTCAGGAGTTGATGGAGGGCACCACTGTGGCCTACCGATGTCCGGCGTCAAAGGAATCGGCCCTGCAGTGGATTCAGCTGTACCAAGAGGCCGCCAACATCACCCTGACGACGTACGACTCCATGTCGAATGGCCAAAGGGTGGTGTACTGGGTGAGAGCTTTAGTTTATGAAATACCAGTTTGGGCTCGCCGTGTAAAGCTCGGCAGGGGGGTACTTTTGCCCGAGCACTCGACCTGGGCCCGCCAATGGAAAATTCTGCTGGTGCAGAGCCTCCTGAGGGTTCAGCAAAGACCCGCCGTATGAAAGCCTGTCGGGGTCTACTGACAGAGGGCCCGGCGGCCTGGGCTGGCTGCATGAATCCCCAGCTTGATGCCGCATACTGAGGACCAGTCATCCAGCCGTCATACCGGGTGTCTCGGAGGACTGGACGGGCACCTACCAGCGGGCCCGCTAGATTTCGGGAGGGTCAGCTGACCCCTTTGTCCCCCTGACTCCTCCCTGGGTGCGCCACTGCACCCAGTAACTTTTACTCTTTTATATCGCAGGAAGGTGCGGGTTAATGAAACACCATGATCAGGGTCAGTTAAAAAGGTAACGTTTTTAAATCGAGAAACTTTCATCCTCATTTAAATGACGGACGTCGGCGCCTGCACCTGCAGGATGAACCGGCGGACTGGCGGCTGCAAACACCTCCGAGCCGTGCGGCAGCAGACTGGCGCTGTGCCGGAGGCGACGGCGACAAAGGAGACGCGGAGGGCCTTGATGGACATCGCCATGGGGACCAGCCAGCAGCTGCCAGGCAACTGGTTCGACCCTCTGGTCGCCGAGCCGTCCACCTCGTCACCTCCTGTCCCCACGCCCGCCAGCGCCCCCGGAGTCGCGCAGCCCCAGCCGTCGCCGAGTCCCGAGGAGTACGACGACGACGCAATGGACTTCGAGGACCCCGCCGCTGCGGCGGCGGCTGTCAGTGGAGCTGAGCAGCGACGCTCAGATGACCGGACACGCCAAACCGTGGCGTTCATCCAGGAGTGGGCAGCCTTCATGTGCGAGGCAGTCGTCCAGGACGACACCTGGGAGAGGGCTGCCGCTGCCTTTCAGCAGAGGTGGGGCCAGCTGCCCACTGCTGGCCGCCAGTCCGCTCTGCACCAGTTTGGAGGCGCGCAGGGCTGCCGGCGGAACGCCACCCAGATTCCGGTCCAGCCGACCAGCACTGCCCGTCGCACCAGCACCAACGTGCGGGGGCGCGCTCGCTGGCCCGCTGGACGGCCGTGCCGCTCCGCGCGCACCGGGGAGCACGGCTACGTGGCAGCCTCCGCCAGGCGGTCGGCGGCGCCCCACAGCCTGGCCACCTGTGTTGACCAGAACCGCCCCCTGGGGCGCTGAGTGATAGAGGTGAAGTGGGGGTGACCGGGGCAAGTTGGTGCCAGGGGGGGGGGGTAAGTTGGGACGGAAGGGATATTTCCAATACTTCTCGACAGTTGGCGTTCAAACTTATTTTGTACATGAACAGTAACGCCGTCTGTTTGTCAACGTGGTGTCGGCGCGTGCTGAGGTAAGTGCTGTTAATAATCGCTACAAATGTGTTTCAGGTACCAAAAGTGATTTTCTTGCTGTGAAAATATTCTCTTCTAGTGTCGTTGTGTGTGCCTTTTTGTTTGCCGCAGGAGTACTGCAAACGTTTGTGTTTTGTCGTTAATGCCCGCATGGATTAGCGATGATTGTTCATGTGAAACATGAATAAAAATGTGTTTAGATAAACTGTTTTTCCTAGTGTACCAACTTGCCTTAGGCCTTGGCCCAACTGACCCCCCGCCGCGGGGTAAGTTGGGACATTGGAGGATGGCCGCTTTGATCAGATATGACACCAAGACGATGCTACCATCTCTCTTATATTAAGTCTTCTTTAAAAGATAAAGAAATCAGATCTCAGTTAATAGCCAACAAATAATGATGTATAGTTATACCGAAGTTATGACGCTTCAAGCAATAACTGGCTCAACTAGCGTTAGCGGAATGACGCAAAATTAGCAGGTGACCAGTGACCACTCCCAGTTCGCTAATATGTTTGCATCATTAACATACCTTCCACTATAAGCACGGTTTCTCAATCTTAACATAAAATATAACATCTTTTCATGTAATTTGCATCTCTAATATACCCCAGTCAAACTTGCATCACTAATGTAGTGGGGGACTTCTTGGGAAGAATTAGTTTCTAGGGACTTACACATTTATGCTCATTTCCCCACATTTGTCGCCAGGGGGAGAATTCCCCAGAATTTTCCGCTAGGAGTGGCTGAGCCCTATGGTGAATTCAAAATACGCTTTCCTCGAGTCCCGTGTCAGTGTGACGTTCATAAAGTTGGCTTCAAATTCGGATTCGGATTCCAGCACAACATTCGTGGAAAAAATGACAAAAACGGACCCCTCAGAATCGATTTAAATTAACAGGATAGATAGAGTAGGACATGCTCATTATGAAAATAAATTATCTAGGCTTGGCACCCACTAAGAACTGAGGAAGCTTAGGTCAAAGTTCAAGGTCATTCTCGGCGGACCCTTTAGATTCTCGTAAAAATTCGTACAACTATAGTCCATGAAGAGCTGATTTCAAAAATACCACTTTCTTACTTTGGCAAGCAGCACAAACTGATATATAAATAGGTCAAAGGTCAGAATCAAGGTCACGTATGTGTAATACAGGAAGTGGAAGTGACCACGTGGCCAGGTGAGAAAGGAGGACCCCTTAGATTTCAATATTTTTTCGCTCAATGATGCAACCAACGTTGGAGATGCTACTGCTGGTTTTTCTAGTTTTGGCAAGGTCAAACTACGGAGAAATGACGGGTCAAAGGTCAAGGTCATTTTCAGCGGACCCTTTCGATTCACATATAACTTTGTATCCCAATACAGTTTTTAATGCTGGTTATTATTCTGCGTATTGTTAGGTTTGGCAGGTCTTAAATTATTTTAAAATATTTAAATAATTTAGCATTTAATTCACCTATCCCAACATGGCTACCGTGCGAGCACCTATCAAAACCTTGATGAAAACAACAAACCGAAAATCTGAGAAACGCGATTTGACCTTGGACGTGCCCCGTGCCAGTGCACTGGCCTTAGGCGTGCTAAAGAACTTGATTTGGTAGGTATAGTGTGTTTTGGTGTGGGCTATTGTAATTCTAATCTATTGCACGTTGCCTGATTTGTGACACAACTTACAAAATTGATATTACAGTCGTAAGTAGTGTCAGTGTCACAAGTTGACATTGCCATGGGGAAGAGGTCACAGGTCATTCGGGTCATTGTCTTGAAATTTACGTGGTACATGTAAAATTGTTTAAACTTGAGATCCTGAAAATTTTGTTGCAATCCGTTGATGCTACTGCAAGTTATAGAGCTTGAACTGACAGATCGTCTATGAGGCCTCCATCCTTGCCAGCGAGAGTGTTGAAAATGGTGCATAATATGTTATTTCACAAAAATTCTCCCGATTCCAAAAACATGTCCCAGATGACCCCCGTGACCTCCAATGAGCTCTGTGATGACCCCAAGTTGACCTTTTTGACGTGATGTGTCCCAGATGACCTCTGTGACCTCCAGTAAAGCTCTGATAACTCCAAACTGACCTCTGTGACCTGGCGTGTCCCAGATGACCTCCATTTGAGCTCTGTGATGACCCCAACTTGACCTCTGGGACCTCACATGTCCCATATGACCTCTGTAACCTCTAAGTGATCTCTCTGATGACCCCAAGCTGAAGTCTGTGACCTGACATGTCCCAGAAGACCTCCAATTGAGCTCTGTGATGACCATAAGTTGACCTCTGTGACCTGACGTGCCCCCAAGCTGCCCTTTGTGACCGACGTGTCTCAGCTGCCTCCATGGTCTCCAATTGAGCTCTGTGATGACCCCAAGTTGACATCTGTGACCTGATATGTCCCATATGACCTCTGTAACCTCTATGTGACCTCTATGATGACCCCAAGCTGACCTCTAAGAGCTAATGTGTCCCAGATGACCCCCATGATCTCCATCAGAGCTCTGTGATAACCCCAAGTTGACCTCTGTTACCTGATGTGTCCCAGGTGACCTCAGTGACCTCCAATTGAGCTCTCTGATGACTCCAATCTGACCTCTGTGACCTTAGGTGTCTCAGATGACCTCCAATTGAGCTCTTTGATAACCCCAGGTTGACCTCTGCGACCTGACATGTCCCATATGACCTCCATGACCTCTAAGTGACCTCTCTGATGACCCCAAGCTGACCTCTGTGACCTGACGTGTCCAAGATGACCCCCATGACCTTTAATGGAGCTCTGTGATGACCCCAAGTTGACCTTTTTGACCTGATGTGTCCCAGATGACCTCCATGACCTCCAGTTTAGCTCTGATAACTCTAAGCTGACCTCTGTGACCTGATGTGTCCCATATGACCTCTGTGATGTCTAAGTGACTTCTCTGATGACCCCAAGCTGACCTCTGTGACCTGACGTGTCCCAGATGACCCCCATGACCCTCAATTGAGCTCTGTGATGACCCCAAGCTGACTTCTGTGACTTGACGTGTCCCATATGACCTCTGTTACCTCGGTGACCTCTCTGATGACTCCAAGCTGATGTCTGTGACCTGACATGTCCCAGATGACCTCCAATTGAGCTCTCTGATAACCACAAGTTGACCTCTGTGACCTGACATGTCCCATATGACCTCTGTGACCTCTAAGTGACCTCTCTCATGACCCCAAGCTGACCTGTGTGACCTGACGTGTCCCAGATGACCCCCATGACCCTCAATTGAGCTCTGTAATGACCCCAAGTTGACCTCTGTGACTTGACGTGTCCCATATGACCTCTGTTACCTCGGTGACCTCTCTGATGACTCCAAGCTGATCTCTGTGATCTGACATGTCCCAGATGACCTCCAATTGAGCTCTCTGATAACCCCAAGTTGACCTCTGTGACCTGACATGTCCCATATGACCTCTGTGACCTCTAAGTGACCTCTCTCATGACCCCAAGCTGACCTGTGTGACCTGACGTGTCCCAGCTGACCTCTGTGACCTGATGTGTCCCATATGACCTCTGTGATGTCTAAGTGACTTCTCTGATGACCCCAAGCTGACCTCTGTGACCTGACGTGTCCCAGATGACCCCCATGACCCTCAATTGAGCTCTGTGATGACCCCAAGTTGACCTCTGTGACTTGAAGTGTCCCATATGACCTCTGTTACCTCGGTGACCTCTCTGATGACTCCAAGCTGATCTCTGTGACCTGACATGTCCCAGATGACCTCCAATTGAGCTCTCTGATAACCCCAAGTTGACCTCTGTGACCTGACATGTCCCATATGACCTCTGTGACCTCTAAGTGACCTCTCTCATGACCCCAAGCTGACCTGTGTGACCTGACGTGTCCCAGATGACCCCCATGACCCTCAATTGAGCTCTGTGATGACCCCAAGTTGACCTCTGTGACTTGAGGTGTCCCATATGACCTCTGTTACCTCGGTGACCTCTCTGATGACTCCAAGCTGATCTCTGTGACCTGACATGTCCCAGATGACCTCCAATTGAGCTCTCTGATAACCCCAAGTTGACCTCTGTGACCTGACATGTCCCATATGACCTCTGTGACCTCTAAGTGACCTCTCTCATGACCCCAAGCTGACCTGTGTGACCTGACGTGTCCCAGATGACCTCCGTGACCTCCAGTAAAGCTCTGATAACTCCAAGTTGACCTCTGTGACCTGGCGTGTCCCAGATGACCTCCATTTGAGCTCTGTGATGACCCCAACTTGACCTCTGGGACCTCACGTGTCCCATATGACCTCTGTAACCTCTAAGTGATCTCTCTGATGACCCCAAGCTGAAGTCTGTGACCTGACATGTCCCAGAAGACCTCCAATTGAGCTCTGTGATGACCATAAGTTGACCTCTGTGACCTGACGTGCCCCCAAGTTGCCCTTTGTGACCGACGTGTCTCAGCTGCCTCCGTGGTCTCCAATTGAGCTCTGTGATGACCCCAAGTTGACATCTGTGACCTGACGTGTCCCATATGACCTCTGTAACCTCTACGTGACCTCTATGATGACCCCAAGCTGACCTCTGTGAGCTAATGTGTCCCAGATGACCCCCATGATCTCCATCAGAGCTCTGTGATAACCCCAAGTTGACCTCTGTTACCTAATGTGTCCCAGGTGACCTTAGTGACCTCCAATTGAGCTCTCTGATGACTCCAATCTGACCTCTGTGTCCTTAGGTGTCCCAGATGACCTCCAATTGAGCTCTCTGATAACCCCAAGTTGACCTCTGTGACCTGATATGTCCCATATGACCTCCACGACCTCTAAGTGACCTCTCTGATGACCCCAAGCTGACCTCTGTGACCTGACGTGTCCAAGATGACCCCCATGACCTTTAATGGAGCTCTGTGATGACCTTTTTGACCTGACGTGTCCCAGATGACCTCCATGACCTCCAGTTTCGCTCTGATAACTCCAAGCTGACCTCTGTGACCTGATGTGTCCCATATGACCTCTGTGACGTCTGAGTGACTTCTCTGATGACCCCAAGCTGACCTCTGTGACCTGACGTGTCCCAGATGACCCCCATGACCCTCAATTGAGCTCTGTGATGACCCCAAGTTGACTTCTGTGACTTGACGTGTCCCATATGACCTCTGTTACCTCGGTGACCTCTCTGATGACTCCAAGCTGATCTCTGTGACCTGACATGTCCCAGATGACCTCCAATTGAGCTCTCTGATAACCACAAGTTGACCTCTGTGACCTGACATGTCCCATATGACCTCTGTGACCTCTAAGTGGCCTCTCTCATGACCCCAAGCTGACCTGTGTGACCTGACGTGTCCCAGATGACCCCCATGACCCTCAATTGAGCTCTGTAATGACCCCAAGTTGACCTCTGTGACTTGACGTGTCCCATATGACCTCTGTTACCTCGGTGACCTCTCTGATGACTCCAAGCTGATCTCTGTGATCTGACATGTCCCAGATGACCTCCAATTGAGCTCTCTGATAACCCCAAGTTGACCTCTGTGACCTGACATGTCCCATATGACCTCTGTGACCTCTAAGTGACCTCTCTCATGACCCCAAGCTGACCTGTGTGACCTGACGTGTCCCAGCTGACCTCTATGACCTGATGTGTCCCATATGACCTCTGTGATGTCTAAGTGACTTCTCTGATGACCCCAAGCTGACCTCTGTGACCTGACGTGTCCCAGATGACCCCCATGACCCTCAATTGAGCTCTGTGATGACCCCAAGTTGACCTCTGTGACTTGACGTGTCCCATATGACCTCTGTGACCTCGGTGACCTCTCTGATGACTCCAAGCTGATCTCTGTGACCTGACGTGTCCCAGATGACCCCCATGACCCTCAATTGAGCTCTGTGATGACCCCAAGTTGACCTCTGTGACTTGACGTGTCCCATATGACCTCTGTGACCTCGGTGACCTCTCTGATGACTCCAAGCTGATCTCTGTGACCTGACATGTCCCAGATGACCTCCGATTGAGCTCTCTGATAACCCCAAGTTGACCTCTGTGACCTGACATGTCCCATATGACCTCTGTGACCTCTGTGACCTCTAAGTGACCTCTCGCATGACCCCAAGCTGACCTGTGTGACCTGACGTGTCCCAGATGACCTCCGTGACCTCCAATTTAGCTCGGATGACTCCAAGCTGACTTCTGTGACCTGATATGTCCCAGATGACCTCTAATTGAGCTCACTGATGACCCCAAGTTGACCTATGTGACCTGACGTGTCCCATATGGCCTCCGCGACCTCTAAGTAACCTCTCTGTTGACTTCAAGCTGACCTCTGTGACCTGACGTGTCCCAGATGACCTCCGTGACCTCCAATTGAGCTCTGATGACTCCAAACTGACCTCTGTGACCTGATATGTCCCAGATGACCTCCAATTGAGCTCACTGATGACCCCAAGTTGACCCCTGTGACCTGACATGTCCCAGATGACCTCCAATTGAGCTCTCTGATAACCCCAAGCTGACCTCTGTGACCTGACGTTTCCAAGATGACCCTATGACCTTCAATCGAGCTCTGTGATGAACCAAGTTGACCTCTGTGACTTGACATGTCCCAGATGACCTCCGTAACCTCCAATTGGGCTCTTTGATGACCCCAAGCTGACCTCTGTGACCTGACGTGTCCGAGAAGACCCCCAATTGAGCTATGTGATGACCATAAGTTGACCTCTGTGACCTGACATGTCCCATATGACCTCCACGACCTCTAAGTGACCTCTGTGATGACCCCAAGCTGACCTGTGACCTGACGTGTCCAAGATAACCCCCATGACCTTCAATCGAGCTCTGTGATGACCCCAAGTTGACTTTTTTGACGTGATGTGTCCCAGATGACCTCTGTGACCTCCAGTAAAGCTCTGATAACTCCAAGCTGACCTCTGTGACCTGGCGTGTCCCAGATGACCTCCATTTGAGCTCTGTGATGACCCCAACTTGACCTCTGGGACCTCACGTGTCCCATATGACCTCTGTAACCTCTAAGTGATCTCTCTGATGACCCCAAGCTGAAGTCTGTGACCTGACATGTCCCAGAAGACCTCCAATTGAGCTCTGTGCTGACCATAAGTTGACCTCTGTGACCTGACGTGCCCCCAAGTTGCCCTTTGTGACCGACGTGTCTCAGCTGCCTCCGTGGTCTCCAATTGAGCTCTGTGATGACCCCAAGTTGACATCTGTGACCTGATGTGTCCCATATGACCTCTGTAGCCTCTTCGTGACCTCTATGATGACCCCAAGCTGACCTCTAAGAGCTAATGTGTCCCAGATGACCCCCATGATCTCCATCAGAGCTCTGTGATAACCCCAAGCTGACCTCTGTTACCTGATGTGTCCCAGGTGACCTCAGTGACCTCCAATTGAGCTCTCTGATGACTCCAATCTGACCTCTGTGACCTTAGGTGTCCCAGATGACCTCCAATTGAGCTCTCTGATAACCCCAAGTTGACCTCTGTGACCTGACGTGTCCAAGATGACCCCATGACCTTTAATGGAGCTCTGTGATGACCCCAAGTTGACCTTTTTGACCTGACGTGTCCCAGATGACCTCCATGACCTCCAGTTTAGCTCTGATAACTCCAAGCTGACCTCTGTGACCTGATGTGTCCCATATGACCTCTGTGACGTCTAAGTGACTTCTCTGATGACCCCAAGCTGACCTCTGTGACCTGACGTGTCCCAGATGACCCCCATGACCCTCAATTGAGCTCTGTGATGACCCCAAGTTGACCTCTGTGACTTGACGTGTCCCATATGACCTCTGTGACCTCGGTGACCTCTCTGATGACTCCAAGCTGATATCTGTGACCTGACATGTCCCAGATGACCTCCAATTGAGCTCACTGATAACCCCAAGTTGACCTTTGTGACCTGACGTGTCCAAGATGACCCCCATGACCTTTAATGGAGCTCTGTGATGACCCCAAGTTGACCTTTTTGACCTGACGTGTCCCAGATGACCTCCATGACCTCCAGTTTAGCTCTGATAACTCCAAGCTGACCTCTGTGACCTGATGTGTCCCATATGACCTCTGTGACGTCTAAGTGACTTCTCTGATGACCCCAAGCTGACCTCTGTGACCTGACGTGTCCCAGATGACCCCCATGACCCTCAATTGAGCTCTGTGATGACCCCAAGTTGACCTCTGTGACTTGACGTGTCCCATATGACCTCTGTGACCTCGGTGACCTCTCTGATGACTCCAAGCTGATATCTGTGACCTGACATGTCCCAGATGACCTCCAATTGAGCTCACTGATAACCCCAAGTTGACCTTTGTGACCTGACGTGTTCAAGATGACCCCCATGACCTTTAATGGAGCTCTGTGATGACCCCAAGTTGACCTTTTTGACCTGACGTGTCCCAGATGACCTCCATGACCTCCAGTTTAGCTCTGATAACTCCAAGCTGACCTCTGTGACCTGATGTGTCCCATATGACCTCTGTGACGTCTAAGTGACTTCTCTGATGACCCCAAGCTGACCTCTGTGACCTGACGTGTCCCAGATGACCCCCATGACCCTCAATTGAGCTCTGTGATGACCCCAAGTTGACCTCTGTGACTTGACGTGTCCCATATGACCTCTGTGACCTCGGTGACCTCTCTGATGACTCCAAGCTGATATCTGTGACCTGACATGTCCCAGATGACCTCCAATTGAGCTCACTGATGACCACCAGTTGACCTATGTGACCTGACGTGTCCCATATGACCTCTGCGACCTCTAAGTGACCTCTCTGTTGACTTCAAGCTGACCTCTGTGACCTGACGTGTCCCAGATGACCTCCGTGACCTCCAATTGAGCTCTGATGACTCCAAGCTGACCTCTGTGACCTGATATGTCCCAGATGACCTCCAATTGAGCTCACTGATGACCCCAAGTTGACGTCTGTGACCTGACGTGTCCCATATGACCTCTGCGACCTCTAAGTGACCTCTCTGATGACTCCAAGCTGACCTCTGTGACCTGACGTGTACCAGATGACCCCCATGTCTCTCTCTCTCTCTCTCTCCCCCTCTCTCTCTCTCTTCCTCTCTCTCTCTCTCTCTCTCTCTCTCTCTCTCTCTCTCTCTCTCTCTCTCTCTCTCTCTCTCTCTCTCTCTCTCTCTCTCTTTCTGTCTCTCTTTCTCTTCACGTGCCGGTGTCGCGGATCCTATAGGCAAATTTTGTACATACCAGTGTTGATCCCGAGTCTCTGACCGGACATGTATTTTTCCTTCCCGCAGGATGCCGGCGGCGGCGACGACAGTGCGCCGGCGCACATCTCTATGGAGGTGGACACGGCGACCCGTGGGCGACCGCCGCTGCCGCGGTTTGCTACAGGTGGCCATGGCCACTAATCTGTCACGAACTTCTGGCAGTGAACGCCAGTCGGTTCTCGGATGTGAGGACGCGCCCTTCGAATCAAGTGACGGAGATGCACCGTGTGACAGTGTGCGTTTTCCGGGCGAGTTCGTTGCGCTGTGTGCCGGTCGTGCGCGGGACTGGTACCACCCGTCGTTCCACCAGTTCTCAGTGCTGCAGCGCGCCGTGCGCGATCTCAGTGCCGCCGTCAAGGAGACTGTGCGCCGCGAGCTGCCGCCCGAGGACCTGCCGGCGCTGACCCGGCTGGAGCCGCTGGCTGACGGCGCGCTGTCGCTGCGTCCGCCGACCCTGCGCCGGCCGCGCCGGGAGGACCCAGCTGCAGCAGCTGCAGTTCATAGCCTGATTTATTTAGCTTAATCTATTTATATTAATCGTATTGCCACCATTAACCTGACTCCTGACTCGTGATTGTGGTTGCCTCAGTTGTAGGCCTTAAGTGCACCGCATTTTGACAGGTCTCGACGTGGCGACCTCGGAGCCAGCGTGTTGGGTCTCGACTTCCCGCCACTCACCGGCGGACCTTTCCGCTTCGTGGACTGTATCGGTCCCGCACAGCTAGTCAAGGACATGGAGCGCTTTGCCGTCGTCAGTGGCGTCGGCTTCGAGCCGTGCCTGACCGTGCACTACCAGGCCGCTAGCGGCACCAAGTTCTGTTCGGCCGGGCCTCGTGTAATGCCCACATGTGATGACCGAGTGTATACGCATGTGAAGCCGCTCCGCGTGTGTGCCAGCGCTGGGCGTGTTCAGTTTCAAAGTAAATATAGAACCTGGTGATCAAGCTACAGCTTTTGACGAGAAATAGAGAGAGGTCATTTTGAAAGCGATCAGACGGTAGCGCCGCCGTTCTTTGGCACGCCTTAGCATGCATCTGTGCTACGCTAAAAGTTTAGGCTCGTTGTCTTTCAAGGTCAGCAGGGTGAGGGCACAAGGTACTTCAAGTGGCCTCGTCTCAGGTAGAGTTCTAATACTCGTTCTAATACTACCAACACATCTAGTCAAGGAGCTGAGTTGAAATCGAGGGGATGGGGGGGGGGGGCTGTTCAGCCCCTTCACTGGGGGGTTCACGGTTCAGCCCCTCCCCCATCAGGCGCGAAAATCTAGGAGCCCCAGCGTGGAGTGAGATAACCTTTTCGACGGCATGTGATTGGGCATTGCATCGAATGACACTGGGCGATTGAAAGATGTTTCAACTCGCTTGTCAAGGCAAACATTTATTCACAACGAAAACAGACATAGGCACATGTGGATTGCTAATGGATAATGGATAATGGCAACGGGTAACAACCAGGTCGTGCGCCGTCTGCTGGAGACTACTGTCGAGCTAACAGTAAGAAATTACACAGGTCTAGATGCAATTTTCAGCGATGAACTTCGGTAGTGCATCGCTGTGCAATTTCAATCACAAGATATTCTTGTTCATACATATCGTATTACCGGCATGGCACTCGCTCGTTATCACGCTTACGTGAGCATACGGTAGCTCAAGGAAAATATGGATAATCGTAGAAGCCGGTATCAAGGAAATCTAGTGAGCACGAACACGCAGTACACGTGGGTACTTTATAGTTTCCTGGACGGTCACGCTTAGTGTAGCTTAGCTCGGCCTTAAAAGATCATCACGGACACCGGGCTACGCGGCATTACATACCACCAGCAGACAGGATTTGATCTCCAGCAGACAAGCTTCTATCGATGCCCCGCGCCGTCTCTCAACAATCGTCCACAGCCGCGGCTCCTGTGCACTGAGACGCTGTCACGACCGCGTCGTATTGCGACTGGAAGCCAGCCCACTGCCCGGTCTCTGCCGCGTCTCCGGCGGTTGGGACCTGTGCCGGGGGCGCCTCCTCCAACAGATTAGTGGCCATGGCCACATGTAGCAAACCGCGGCAGCGGCGGTCGCCCACGGGTCGCCGTGTCCACCTCCATAGAGATGTGCGCCGGCGCACTGTCGTCGCCGCCGCCGGCATCCTGCGGGAAGGAAAAATACATGTCCGGTCAAAGACTGGGGATCAACACTGGTATGTACAAAATTTGCCTATAGGATCCGCAACACCGGCACGTGAAGAGAAACAGAGAGAAAGAGAGAGAGAGAGAGAGAGAGAGAGAGAGAGAGAGAGAGAGAGAGAGAGAGAGAGAGAGAGAGAGAGAGAGAGAGAGAGGAGAGAGGAGAGAGAGACATGGGGGTCATCTGGGACACGTCAGGTCACACAGGTCAGCTTGGGGTCATGAGAGAGGTCACTTAGAGGTCACAGAGGTCATATGGGACATGTCAAGTCACAGAGGTCATATGGGACATGTCAGGTCACAGAGGTCAACTTGGGGTTATCAGAGAGCTCAATCGGAGGTCATCTGGGACATGTCAGGTCACAGAGATCAGCTTGGAGTCATCAGAGAGGTCACCGAGGTAACAGAGGTCATATGGGACACGTCAAGTCACAGAGGTCAACTTGGGGTCATCACAGAGCTCAATTGAGGGTCATGGGGGTCATCTGGGACACGTCAGGTCACAGAGGTCAGCTTGGGGTCATCAGAGAAGTCACTTAGACGTCACAGAGGTCATATGGGACACATCAGGTCACAGAGGTCAGCTTGGAGTTATCAGAGCTAAACTGAAGGTCATGGAGGTCATCTGGGACACATCAGGTCAAAAAGGTCAACTTGGGGTCATCACAGAGCTCCATTAAAGGTCATGGGGGTCATCTTGGACATGTCAGGTCACAGAGGTCAGCTTGGGGTCATCAGAGAGGTCACTTAGAGGTCATGGAGGTCATATGGGACATGTCAGGTCGCAGAGGTCAACCTGGGGTTATCAAAGAGCTCAATTGGAGGTCATCTGGGACACCTAAGGTCACAGAGGTCAGATTGGAGTCATCAGAGAGCTCAATTGGAGGTCACTGAGGTCACCTGGGACACATCAGGTAACAGAGGTCAACTTGGGGTTATCACAGAGCTCTGATGGAGATCATGGGGGTCATCTGGGACACATTAGCTCTTAGAGGTCAGCTTGGGGTCATCATAGAGGTCACATAGAGGTTACAGAGGTCATATGGGATATATCAGGTCACAGATGTCAACTTGGGGTCATCACAGAGCTCAATTGGAGACCACGGAGGCAGCTGAGACACGTCGGTCACAAAGGGCAACTTGGGGGCACGTCAGGTCACAGAGGTCAACTTATGGTCATCACAGAGCTCAATTGGAGGTCTTCTGGGACATGTCAGGTCACAGACTTCAGCTTGGGGTCATCAGAGAGATCACTTAGAGGTTACAGAGGTCATATGGGACACGTGAGGTCCCAGAGGTCAAGTTGGGGTCATCACAGAGCTCAAATGGAGGTCATCTGGGACACGCCAGGTCACAGAGGTCAGTTTGGAGTTATCAGAGCTTTACTGGAGGTCACAGAGGTCATCTGGGACACATCACGTCAAAAAGGTCAACTTGGGGTCATCACAGAGCTCATTGGAGGTCACGGGGGTCATCTTGGACATGTTTTTGGAATCGGGAGAATTTTTGTGAAATAACATATTATGCACCATTTTCAACACTCTCGCTGGCAAGGATGGAGGCCTCATAGACGATCTGTCAGTTCAAGCTCTATAACTTGCAGTAGCATCAACGGATTGCAACAAAATTTTCAGGATCTCAAGTTTAAACAATTTTACATGTACCACGTAAATTTCAAGACAATGACCCGAATGACCTGTGACCTCTTCCCCATGGCAATGTCAACTTGTGACACTGACACTACTTACGACTGCAATATCAATTTTGTAAGTTGTGTCACAAATCAGACAACATGCAATAGATTAGAATTACAATAGCCCACACCAAAACACACTATACCTACCAAATCAAGTTCTTTAGCACGCCTAAGGCCAGTGCACTGGCACGGGGCACGTCCAAGGTCAAATCGCGTTTCTCAGATTTTCGGTTTGTTGTTTTCATCAAGGTTTTGATAGGTGCTCGCACGGTAGCCATGTTGGGATAGGTGAATTAAATGCTAAATTATTTAAATATTTTAAAATAATTTAAGACCTGCCAAACCTAACAATACGCAGAATAATAACCAGCATTAAAAACTGTATTGGGATACAAAGTTATATGTGAATCGAAAGGATCCGCTGAAAATGACCTTGACCTTTGACCCGTCATTTCTCCGTAGTTTGACCTTGCCAAAACTAGAAAAACCAGCAGTAGCATCTCCAACGTTGGTTGCATCATTGAGCGAAAAAATATTGAAATCTAAGGGGTCCTCCTTTCTCACCTGGCCACGTGGTCACTTCCACTTCCTGTATTACACATACGTGACCTTGATTCTGACCTTTGACCTATTTATATATCAGTTTGTGCTGCTTGCCAAAGTAAGAAAGTGGTATTTTTGAAATCAGCTCTTCATGGACTATAGTTGTACGAATTTTTACGAGAATCTAAAGGGTCCGCCGAGAATGACCTTGAACTTTGACCTAAGCTTCCTCAGTTCTTAGGGGGTGCCAAGCCTAGATAATTTATTTTCATAATGAGCATGTCCTACTCTATCTATCCTGTTAATTTAAATCGATTCTGAGGGGTCCGTTTTTGTCATTTTTTCCACGAATGTGGTGCTGGAATCCGAATATTTAAATCGATTCTGAGGGGTCCGTTTTTGTCATTTTTTCCACGAATGTGGTGCTGGAATCCGAATCCGAATTTGAAGCCAACTTTATGAACGTCTCGTCATGGACTATAGTTGTACCAATTTTTACGAGAATCCAAAGGGTCCGCCGAGAATGACCTTGAACTTTGACCTAAGATTCCTCAGTTCTTAGGGGGTGCCAAGCCTAGGTGATTTATTTTCATAATAAGCATGTCCTGCTCTATCTATCCTGTTAATTTAAATCGATTCTGAGGGGTCCGTTTTTGTCATTTTTTCCACGAATGTGGTGCTGGAATCCGAATCCGAATTTGAAGCCAACTTTATGAACGTGTCAGTGTGTACAAAATTGAAATTGTTATTGAAATATCAAATTAGTTGGACATGCCTAAGAGCTGGACTTTTTGCACGCGTTCCCCGCCAGGGGGCGCCACTGAGGAAGCACCCTCTGACGTCACGATAAAACTGCGCGCACTGTGCGCACGGTTCTGTAAGCAAGTAATATAGTGGTGGTTTCATGGTGGAAATTGGAATAAGTATTTTGACGTTGTAAAATTTCAAGCCCTTTTTGTGAAATTAATTAGCAAATGCATTTCAAAAGTATTTATTCAAAGTGTGAAATGAGAATAATTAGAAGAACATGGATATTTTTGTTCCAATAGCTTATTATGTGAGACATGATCGGTACTAACGGGTACTTCTAAGAAGTAGTGAAGAAGTACCAAACAGCCTGCTCGGCTACGATCGTCAGCTGTCCTTTGGAGCTGGACTTCAACGCTGTAAAACAAAATATGTGCTGAATTAATTTTTAGTTTCACCAAAATATAAGCAATTTATCATTTCTTTTTCACTTTTGTAATTATTGTTGAGTGAAGAGACATGTTGCTAGTTCTGACAATATAAATTTTTAATCAAAAAACCGAAATGCGACGGTAAGTATCTGCTACTAAATTATCACTGTAACCAAATACATGGAGAATCTTGCTACCATTGCTTATAAAACGTGCTTATCAATACACAAATGTTTTATTTCAGACAAGAAGGATTTATTTGCCTGAAGTCTTGCGTCATGTGCTACTGCTTTGATTCCAAAGACGCTCTCCGGGTCGGGGTAATTTAGTTCTTCATCGATCGATAAGAGATTTTGATTCCATTGATATCCAAATTGATAAGCTCGGCACCATGGAGTAAGGGCGTCCCCACAGGGGTGCGGACGCAGGAAATATGAATGGCGTTTACACCGACAGTAGTTTCCCACAGCCGGCAATGGGAATCTCCTGTCGGTGTAAACGCCACTTGACTATAGTCCCATCCAACTCAAACACTGGGGAATATCCCCGCACTTTTGAGGACGGAAATCTATGGACCTGCTCGTAAAATAGTGGATAAAATACGGCGAGCTTTCAGTTTTATGGTTGGGTCTCCCTTCCGAGGCACATATTTACGGGGGATATTGGGTCATATTCCCCCGGCGTCCTGATGATCGGCGCCCAGCTCAACGTCGAAGGCGCCCTGATACGCGGCACTGCTATCTGTGAAGGTGCCCAGGTTGCTGCCGCTCGAATTTTGGTCGCCTACTTAACAAAACCTCCGTTGGTGCCATCTCAGTTTCCTCGAGGTAAGGCAACCTTCACACGCCGTTGGCTACCTTGGCTGGCCGGCGACTCGTTCCCCTCGTGGCGACGCTCTTGACATCCAGTCAAAAGTTGGAGTGGCTGGCTCCCCCAGTGGGGGCCGGGGAGGGGGCAGTGGGCCTCCACGTTGCTCTCTTCCCGAGCCTATGGTGACTTGGCTCAACTCTCCTCAATAGAATCTGGATTCTGCACGCTGTATTAACATGGGCGTAGACACCACTACGGACAATACGGACAGTGGGTGTGACAATCAGTAGTGCCGGGTGTCATATATGAGCGGAGAGGCAACAGTACAGCTGAGCGGAGAGACAACATTAAAACAACAGTACAGCTGGCGTTGCATGGAGCTGCAGGCAACCGGACAGCGGAGGCTTGCGAAAAATAAACAATTCGTCACTTCAACGTATAAACAATAGTATAAAAAGCAACATAAACACATATTCTCATGGTCGAACCCATGCACTAGCGGCTCACGGCGGGCACAGGCACGCAGTGCGGTAGCGGTACCGGATCACACGTCATGGGCGTTGTCTCAGCATAGGTTGTTATGAGCGGAGAGGCAACAGTACAGCTGAGCGGAGAGACAACATTAAAACAACAGTACAGCTGGCGTTGCATGGAGCTGCAGGCAACCGGACAGCGGAGGCTTGCGAAAAATAAACAATTCGTCACTTCAACGTATAAACAATAGTAAAAGCAACATAAACACATATTCTCATGGTCGAACCCATGCACTAGCGGCTCACGGCGGGCACAGGCACGCAGTGCGGTAGCGGTACCGGATCACACGTCATGGGCGTTGTCTCAGCATAGGTTGTTCGCAATCTAGTTGAAGCCTAAGAAGACGGCCAGTGGGGTCTCACTGCTGCTGAGGCGACCTCGGAGACGATGCGTCGCCCCTCCTGTCGGCGACCTGCGGTGAGCAGGACTCCAGATAGCTGTCTGGCACGTTGCCGACACTGCCAGACGCTGTCAGCAGGCCTCACTGCTGCAAGTGATGTGCAGATGGACGCCAGGTGACTTCGTCTGCAGGCGATTCCGGAGACCGCGGCCTCACCAGGCAGTACCACCTGCATCGCCATGTCGGTGTTTCTAGAAATGGAAAAATAACAGCATCGGTGAAGGACAAGCAATACAATGTATTCTGTTTTCCTCTCTAGCAGGTATACCTAATCTACAATTATCATTGTTCCTATTTCATTCAACTGAACCTGAAAATTCCATATTGGCACATTGTTTGACTAAATTTGTGTAGTTGGGAACAGGGGCGACGCCACGGTGCGACGACTGGGGGGGGGGGACATTGACCATTTTGAAGGGGACGAGGACCATTTCAAGTCGATTCTTTCCATGCAACGCCATAGGCGTAATGTTAAAATTTTAAAAAGTGGAGGGGACGAGATCCCCTCCGTCCCCCCCCCCCTGTTGCGACGCCCTTGGTTGGGAAGCAGATTGTTTGAAATACATGTTTGGTTGAACAGTGCGGAAAATATTTCATTGATCACTATAGCTGCAACAAAAATACTGAGACAGAAAACATTTGCGCTTACCTGGCTCCTTAGTCAGTCCAGCACAATGGAAGTGGTACCATTTATCGCAGCCGTCGCATCCGACCATCGGTGCTGCACTGATGCTGCTGCACTCCCCACATTCCCAGTACCTTAGGAGCGTCTTGGCTGTGAAAAGATTACATGAGTCATGGCGCATACATGAATAGTAAGATGTTTTATATGTTTAACATCGCATAGCAAAGACACAACAGCTGGGAGTCAAGTGTAGGCCAAAGTGTAAGCCCTGCCATGTTTTGCAGACTGGATTTTAAGCAAGAAAAGCTTTGCTAAAAATGACGCTTGACGAAGCCTCATCCTACTGGGCTGTCTGACATGTCTCCCTGTAAAAAGCATGTGGCCCTTATATTGTATATATGGTGAATATGTTAATAATGCAGATAAAACACAGTATAAATTATACCCAACGTTTCATCTTAATCGACTTTGTCAAGGGTGTTTGAACAGCTTGAGATGAGTGAAGTGTAAGGGTACCTAGGTATGTACATCGGAAAATAAACTGAATCTGCGTTCAATAAACATTGATTTTGATAATACATTTCACAAATCAACTGCTAATAACAATCATACTAAAATAGCACGACAGATAACTAACAATCGCATGAAGAACTTCTTGATTCGCCTTGACATTGTCGTCCGAACGAATGTTGTCTTAAGTTACACATTTGTCTTTTCTGCGCAGCATTTGTGTTTGCCATTTACCGCACCAATGTTCGCCAGCGGTGGTGACTTTTCCTTACCTGCTCACGAAACGTCACACAGGATATGACGTCACCCGAAGACGTCATCAAAAAGTCCAGCTCTTAGGCGTGTCCAATTAGTTGAGAAACAACCGAATTTATTTAACTTCTTTGCCACAGGCCCACAACAAGTGCCTCTCTCAATCATATTGATAAATGCTTGAAATTTTGGCAGCTTCCCTATAATTAAACCAAGCACCTAGTTCATACTGAAATCCTCAAAATATTTTTACACCTTTTTCATGCACTTGAATGGGGGTCGTACTATTTACTGGATTATTTGCCAGCTGGCGCTGTATGGCGGCTAATTTTTCTATGAGTGCCATTTTACATGTCCAAGTCCATCTACTACCTTTTTATATCACAAATTGAAATGCCATGGCTTTCGTCATCGTACATCGATCATCATCTGGCCAGTTGTTAATAAGGCCCCTTGAATGGGACCAGTGTCTACAGCATCAGATTCAGGCCTCAATAGGGTCTAGGTCAAGGCAGTATATAGCTCCTACTGTGGACGTCAAACCGCGTGGGACGCGACTTTTTCGCAATAACTTTTGAATGCGTTGCCTCTCAAGAACGAAACTTCGGCAATGGACGTTTCAGACCCCGGCCTAATTTTTATTACTAAGGTTTTTCAATGTCCGATCAATATTTAGGGCACTTCCCGTTCACTCGTAATGTTAAATTTTGCCCCTGAAACTCTCTCGGTGAGCAGAGGCTACTCCACAAGGGGCGGAGCCATAGTGTGACGTTGGAGCTAAGCTCCGCCTCGGCTGGCCGTTGCCTGAGGCGCTACCTGACCCGAGACCGGTCAGTCGCGGTCCGTAGGGGTTGGTACGCGGTGCTTCCTGCCAACACACCCAGCCGCATGGCGAGCTGGGTGGCGAGTGTTGACTGTTCGCACTTCTATCAATGAAATATTTTCTTCGACTCGCTAAGAATGTCACTCAGATAGGAAGACTATGCGCGTACGCCAACTATTACGATGATTTAAGAATAACAGAAAATAATTAAATGATTATTTAATAAGTTTGTCAAGGTAATTACGTAAATGAGATACCTACATAATAATATAATATATTTTTACACAGTCAAGTTAATTTTTTTTAATTAAAATTTTAATTTTAGGTTCTTGTAGATATCAAACCGCCAGGAACGTTAGTACACTTCGTGTTATCCTGCCAAGCCCCAATATGCCCCAACTTAAATGTTTCCGTAATGCACCGGTACGCATAGCCGGAGGGGAGCCGGATCCGCCGGAGCCGTCATATTTTGCCCTGAGTGGGAGCCGGAGCCGGAGCCGTATTGCCACTTTACTCGGAGCCGGAGCCGGAGCTGGAGCTGATTCAAATGTTCAAGGCTCTGCATCCCTGCTGCTAAGTCAATAATTCGTATAGTTTATTTGATAAAGGGCCATACTGAACAATATCGATTTTTTCTCGGATTAAAAAACCTGGTAAAAGGCCATACTGAACAATATCGGTTTCGAGATGTCCGCCCATCTGAGACCCGACGCACACAGCATGCAGAACCGGTTCTGAGTGAGGATCGACCGACAGATGGCAGTCGTGTCTGAACGGTAGATGGCAGGGAATTCGTAGTTAGTAGGCGGGGCTTCGCGAGCAGCCTGACGATAGCCGCCATCCGGGCTGATATTTCACTTAGCATTACGAGTGAACGGGAAGTGCCCTAAATATTGATCGGACATTGAAAAACCTTAGTAATAAAAATTAGGCCGGGGTCTGAAACTCCATTGCCGAAGTTTCGTTCTTGAGAGGCAACGTATTCAAAAGTTATTGCGAAAAAGTCGCGTCCCACGCGGTTTGACGTCCACAGTAGGTGCTGCCTGTATCAATATGTATTTGGTCAGGTGGTATGACATTTGTATCCTAATTCCATGGTTCTTGAATCATTTTGCTAAAATATTACTGATATGAATAGTTTTTCATGTAATGCATGCTTCTTAGATAGAATTACTTACCAATCATATGCAAGCAATGCTGTCTGCTTTTTGTTGATAAATTTTGATGCTCATTTCAGGTTTCAGGATGGGGCTCCTAAAATGTTAATAAGGCCCCTTGAATGGGACCAGTGTCTACAGCATCAGATTCAGGCCTCAATAGGGTCTAGGTCAAGGCAGTATATAGCTCCTACTGTGGACGTCAAACCGCGTGGGACGCGACTTTTTCGCAATAACTTTTGAATGCGTTGCCTCTCAAGAACGAAACTTCGGCAATGGACGTTTCAGACCCCGGCCTAATTTTTATTACTAAGGTTTTTCAATGTCCGATCAATATTTAGGGCACTTCCCGTTCACTCGTAATGTTAAATTTTGCCCCTGAAACTCTCTCGGTGAGCAGAGGCTACTCCACAAGGGGCGGAGCCATAGTGTGACGTTGGAGCTAAGCTCCGCCTCGGCTGGCCGTTGCCTGAGGCGCTACCTGACCCGAGACCGGTCAGTCGCGGTCCGTAGGGGTTGGTACGCGGTGCTTCCTGCCAACACACCCAGCCGCATGGCGAGCTGGGTGGCGAGTGTTGACTGTTCGCACTTCTATCAATGAAATATTTTCTTCGACTCGCTAAGAATGTCACTCAGATAGGAAGACTATGCGCGTACGCCAACTATTACGATGATTTAAGAATAACAGAAAATAATTAAATGATTATTTAATAAGTTTGTCAAGGTAATTACGTAAATGAGATACCTACATAATAATATAATATATTTTTACACAGTCAAGTTAATTTTTTTTAATTAAAATTTTAATTTTAGGTTCTTGTAGATATCAAACCGCCAGGAACGTTAGTACACTTCGTGTTATCCTGCCAAGCCCCAATATGCCCCAACTTAAATGTTTCCGTAATGCACCGGTACGCATAGCCGGAGGGGAGCCGGATCCGCCGGAGCCGTCATATTTTGCCCTGAGTGGGAGCCGGAGCCGGAGCCGTATTGCCACTTTACTCGGAGCCGGAGCCGGAGCTGGAGCTGATTCAAATGTTCAAGGCTCTGCATCCCTGCTGCTAAGTCAATAATTCGTATAGTTTATTTGATAAAGGGCCATACTGAACAATATCGATTTTTTCTCGGATTACAAAACCTGGTAAAAGGCCATACTGAACAATATCGGTTTCGAGATGTCCGCCCATCTGAGACCCGACGCACACAGCATGCAGAACCGGTTCTGAGTGAGGATCGACCGACAGATGGCAGTCGTGTCTGAACGGTAGATGGCAGGGAATTCGTAGTTAGTAGGCGGGGCTTCGCGAGCAGCCTGACGATAGCCGCCATCCGGGCTGATATTTCACTTAGCATTACGAGTGAACGGGAAGTGCCCTAAATATTGATCGGACATTGAAAAACCTTAGTAATAAAAATTAGGCCGGGGTCTGAAACTCCATTGCCGAAGTTTCGTTCTTGAGAGGCAACGTATTCAAAAGTTATTGCGAAAAAGTCGCGTCCCACGCGGTTTGACGTCCACAGTAGGTGCTGCCTGTATCAATATGTATTTGGTCAGGTGGTATGACATTTGTATCCTAATTCCATGGTTCTTGAATCATTTTGCTAAAATATTACTGATATGAATAGTTTTTCATGTAATGCATGCTTCTTAGATAGAATTACTTACCAATCATATGCAAGCAATGCTGTCTGCTTTTTGTTGATAAATTTTGATGCTCATTTCAGGTTTCAGGATGGGGCTCCTAAAATGGATTGGACGTATGCTCCTTGACTTCACTGTCATCACCATAGCTATAATGCTGTTCCCAGGAATATCCCCAAATGCTGAATTTGAGGTTACGAGGTATGTTTCATCTTAATCTCTTTTGTAGGTACCTACTTTATTTTCTGCTGGGTGCTTTAAAGCAATACATCCAGTTTGATATGGGCATTTGCAGTTGAAGCAAACTGTCATATTGCAACTAACATTGTATGATAAAAATCTGGATCATTGTCTGATCATAAAACACAAAAACCCAGGAAGGTACTTACCTAGGGATAATGTTATACCTTGTTGGTTAAGCTATTGCAAATAAAACAAACTCCTGTGTTATTGTTTATTTCTCATTTACCTATTTTCTGACTTATAATTAATTTATTTCCCTTAATTGCTTTAATCAGATGTTAGGTTGGTATCTGTGATTCTTATTAAAAATCATTGAACATAGGTATTTGTCATTCTTCTTTTGACTTTCACATTTTTAATTCAGTTACAACTAAATCATTTTTATATCATTATAGTATGCTGAGCTTGGAAATTGGCTATCAGCTGCCATAAATCCATCTAAGATCAGTATCTAAACAGTTAGCTGAATGTGACTGGGGCGATATGAAATCAGTTTCGCTGCCGTGCTCTCTCGCTGTCACTAACCAACATCCGTGGCAGGTTCTCAGACAGTCCGCCGCTGGAGGGCGTGCTGGAGCGCAACGAGCGTCTGTCCTCGATGGAGCCGCTGCTGGGCGACCTGGCCACCGGTCCAGAGTCCACCGCCAGTCGCGGCGGCGCCGTCTACACAGGCGTCGAGGGCGGCGCCATCCTGCGGCTGACAGACGACGGCGGCGCGGAGACCGTCGCCCAGCTGGGCCGCTGCGGTGAGTGCTGCGACAGACTGCCGCACGCCTGCAGTGGTGCTATGTTCCCTCCTCTCGGGCTGGGTATTTTGATAGTGATATTTGTCAAAATCCGGGGAACTTGCCAACAGCGACGTGACACCGGTCCCATCGGAGAATCGTTCCCTTCCAGCTACATGCTTGACTACACATATTTCCCTTTAGCTAGGTCATAGGACGTACATTTTTCTATCGTTTGTCGAGCGTAGGTAGTGTGAGCGTGCGCTGTTTGACTGGCCCCTCTCCGCAGACGATCCGCTGGACAGTCCGCGGTGCGGCCGGCCGCTGGGGATCCGGTTTGACCAGCAGGGCCGTCTGCTGGTGGCCGACGCGTACCTGGGCATCCACCGGGTCAACGTCAGCTCAGGTAACAGCGGCGTCAATTTCTGCCTCGGGAACCACCGTCATGAAACGCTGCAACGGGCTGCATTCCCTGGAAAAACTATCATTTGTTTGTGTTTTCTGGATATTCTTTGGGCGACACAAGTTACAGTCGTGCCACATGCTGTCATGTTGTTAAATGTTGTCACTAATTAACACTTTTGTTGCTTTTCCTGCAGGATAAAAACAAAAAATAACGCAGTAAACCCTCGATGATATTTATAAAAAGACGAAGGTGGAAAAATGTTACATGTGCGTGATTTGTTCAGCTGCAGCACTAGAGCAGTATTGTGAACCAACTTCATCAGTGCGATTGAGAGTGACGCGGATTACACAAGTGACATCGTGCCTGTCCGGCGTCATTGTATCATTCTGGTGTATTCATCGTACCGATTTAATAACATTTGTACTCGCCGGCTCGGTCTGTCCCCACCTACTGACGGCCATGCTGTACCGTCAGGCGCCGTGGAGCGGCTGGTCCCGACTGGTGTGGTGGTGGACGGCGAGCCACTGCGGTTCTGTAACGACGTCCTGTCGGCCAGCGACGGTACCATCTACTTCACCTCGTCCTCAGCCATCGCCGACCTGCATAACGGCTTCATGGAGCTGGCCGTGCGAGGCACTGGCAGGTTAGTACGGGACAACGGCAGGTAAGTTATTACTGGCGGTCCGGGGCAAGTCCGGGTTGGTGTGTCACCGATGATAGCAGCACGCTGCTATTACGCGTGTCAAATTGGGTTTCCATGGAGACGTCAACAAGCCCATTGCTCCAACACTACCACAAGTGTGACGTCAGCTCGCGAAATGGAATAGCAGCGTGCTGCTATCACCGGTGAAACACCACCCGGGGCACCGGCAGGTCAGTACGGGACACTGGCAGGTCAATCCACCACGGCTACAGGAGGAGGGTAGTTATCAGTGCTCTGACAATCAGGGGCACCAGTAGAATCTGGTCCGCTGCTGCTGCAAACGAGGGTGAGAATAGATCGTCTGAGAGCTCCTTAAAGATAGCAACGATGAGCGAAGAGCACGAGCAGTTTTTATAGGAGATGAATAGGTACATTGCCAGTAATACATTCACGCCAATTCTAATATATTTCCACAGGCTGTTCCGACACGACCCAGTCACCAACACGACCACGGTGCTGCTCTCTGGGATCAACTTCGCCAACGGCATCGCGCTGAACGGTCGCGAGACGGCGCTGCTGGTGTCCGAAACGGCGCGCTACCGGGTGCTGAGGTGAGGCCGGACACCAAGACACAGTGCTGGTGTTTCCTCGCCTCTCTGGTATTACCTCGAACTCTTTTCATATTTCTCTGTATGCTGTCTCGTGACCGAGCCTTGATCGTTAGTATTTCATTTCCTTCGTTGAGACGTCGCCCAGTGCGACACCCTTGACTTTTCGTCACTCCCAACCGTGTCGGACTTTTCGTCAATCGTCATTCCCAGTCATCCCCACGGCCCGCCACTGACACCCGTCGCTCGGGTGCCAGCGGCGCGGAACGGAAAACTTGTGTAAATCGATAAAAAGAAATTGCGTTGGCGTCGCCTGCGGCTCGTCATTGTACCGTGGCCAGTAAGATTCCGCCTTTAAAAATTACCGAGTGAAGTTTTATCTGCCTAGGGCTTGTAAACGGAATATCTACCTGTCCAACATTTGTTTAGTGTTTTAACGATGTCATTCTCCTACAGCATCTACACGTGTAAAAACAGGCTCCCAACATCGCCTTGAATAAAACTTCACAAACTATCTGACCAATTATGCTTCGCCGGACCGCAGTAGCGGCTGATTATAGGCTGGCGAGTGGCGGGGCCTCAAACATTTTAATGAAGAGGGGCCTGTCCCACTGACTTCCTCATCCTCTGGATAGTTTGTAGTGTGACCCTTGTCCCACCGACTCCTACCCCACTAACTACAGTGTTTTTTTTTTTTTTTGGCAGGGTGTGGCTAAAGGGCGGCCGACATGAATTGTATGTAGTGTGAACTGCGACCCCTGTCCCACTGACCTCCCCCCTCTATTCACAGGGTGTGGCTGAAGGGCGGCCGCGCCGGCACCAGTGAGGTGGCCGCTGATAATATGTGTTAGTAGTGTGACCCCAGTCCCACTGACTTCCCTCTATTCACAGGGTGTGGCTGAAAGGCGGCCGCGCCGGCACCAGTGAGGTGGCCGCCGATAATCTGTGTTGGTGGTGTGTCCCCTGTCCCACTGACTCCCTCCCCCTCCCCTGTGTTCGCAGGGTGTGGCTGAAGGGCGGCCGGGCCGGCACCAGTGAGGTGGCCGCTGACAATCTGCCGGGATTCCCGGATAACATCCGGCCGCGGCCCGACGGCGGCTTCTTTGTCGGCCTCTGCGGGCTGCGGTGAGTAGCGTTCAGCTGCGGTGAATGGACCGGGGAAGTTGAGCGGAGCGGAAACGATGCCGGCGTGGGAGGTATCGCCTCTGAAGTAATGCTCGGTGTTGTAAATACTTCCGGTTTGATTGCACACGCGAGTCGTGCTGTGGGTGTCTCTGCGGTTTTCCATAGATAAGCTCCGATAGATAAGCTCAACCTGTATAGCACACGAAGAAGCCTCACAGTCTCGCTTGTACCTACCTCCAGGTACCAGAACCCCCTGGCCGAGGGGCTGATCAAGCCGCACCCGCTGCTGGCCAAGCTGCTGCTGCGCATTCTCTCTGTGGCAATGACGCCCATCAGGCTACTGGAGCGCGCCTTCCCAAATCCGTACACGCAGACCATTATCTACAAGGTGAGTGCAGGGCAAGGTTGGCTAGAAATTGCATGGCTGTTGGTTAGGCTCGACGGCGATGGTGTAAACATATTCTGGCCTGTGCAGTATTTCGAAGATGGTCCTCAGTTTTGAGAATGGAATGAGCGGCGAGCGCGGCAGCTTACTCAGCATTTATTTCGATTCTAGTGCTTTTCGCTTTGAACGAACGTCAAACTTACTAGAGGTCTGCAGAGAGAATCATCACCTAAAGGAGCGGCGTATCAAATTCACTGCACCATTTATTCACACAGTCATGCCCATTTCAAAGTCCATGACTCCATCTGTGAGTGGAGAATTTTTCTGTTGGTGATCAATGATCATGACAATGACAGATAAACAAATAAATAACGTTCCATCATTTTAGTACGAAGCAAAGCCATCCAATCGTCCGGGACACGCGCGGCGGCCCCCTGACACACAGCCCGCCGTCCCCCGACCGCAGGGCGTCACGATGCGCACCATGCAGCGTCTGTCATCATACGGGCGCGCGCTGCACGCCATGGGTTTGGAGCTGAGCGACACGGGCGCCGTCACCGGCAGCCTGCACACCTCCCGTATGGCGTGTATCTCTGAGGTAAACGAGCACGACGGCGCACTGTTCCTCGGCTCGCCGTTCGAGGATTTCTTGGGCCGGGTGCCCGCGGCGCCGCGCACCATACGAGTGCGCACAAAGCACACGGATGGCTCGATGTCGGTTAGCGTCGGGGATCAGTAGTGATGTGTTTGTCTCGGGGAAGATGGAGATCAAAAGATCGCAGCTGATGTGATGGTGGATTCTGGGGTAGAGTTCGTATGGTGGATGGGAAGGAAGTAGAGAGCTGCGTGTAAGGGTGGTTTTTGTAAGGCGTATGCGAGCGGCTGGCATTGGGTTAGGTGTAGATGGGCTAGGCGTGTGAATTGCGGAGCCTCAATGAGATTCATCGGCTGCATTGGTGATTTCATCCATTTTTCACTTTCTCATCGATCAGTTTGTGTTTGAGGGAGGACCGGAAATCCGTTTGCTAGTGAGTGAGGTGCGGGGGCGTGAGAAGGACCTCAGATGACGTGGTGGCTCACAGACTAGCGTCCGTACCATAGAGGGTGCCAGTGAGGCCTACAGAAAGCCCAGTCCACATCCACTCGGCTGTGCCTTGTCCGAGCTTGTTGACGTTGAGTGTGTGCTTCCCCCTTTGTAAGCCGAATTATCACGTGTCTTTCGCAGGCAAGTCGGGGACTTACCGTAAAAACATTTGTTAATGTGCCATTTTTTAAGCAATAGCCCACGGACGCAGCCTCTTTTTTTGGATAATGAGCCTGAGAATGGATGTTTTGCGAGCATTCGGAGGCTTTTCTTTCGCACAGGGCTCAGATACAGTCTTTTGTTTTCATAATTGCTGCCATTGGGAATCATTTTTCGATATTCTTGATAAACATTTTTAATCGCTGTCATGCCAGTAAACGCGTTCCATGAAATAACACGGATGGTAACGAATTACTTCGGTCATTTGATTTTACACTTTTAAACTACAAAGTGAAATGTCAAATCAATAAGATACAAAAATACTTATATGGATACAGGCAATAAGGAAATTTTCGCTCAAAACCGGCATGCCACAGGACTCCGCTATTGCTTCTACACTGGCCCATACATATCAACAACTATTCATAAATTATCACCAACGTCGCAAATGTGATCTACGCAGCTCTCAGTTCACTATTGCCATCGTATCACCATGATTGTTCAGTCACATCGAGTCAATACTTGGTGCAATAAGTACGACTCCTGAGGATCTCTGTGTTCAGTGTTTCGGTCAGTGCCGCACTCGCGAGGCGCGGTGCCTCCGTCGTGTTGGTAGTTCATCATTCATCGAGTGGGTGTGGGTGATTGTGTGTTCGCGGGACGCAGTGCGGTCGGCTTGTCTGACAGCCCGACCTCTATGAATGTGGATCCCCGAGGAGCTTATTTCCCGCTCATTTCTGAGTCCTGATGCAACGTTCCAATAAAGATCTGAAGCAAATGATGCTCTCTTTGTAATGGGAAATAATTTGGAATGAGAACTGCATGTCCTGAAAGCCAAGTCTCTAATTATGAACACCAGTCTGCCTTTTACACATGGTGTTTCATTGTTTATCCACGCCTTCTAGCCTGTCCCAAGTTAACACCAAATGTAATAAGTAGCATTGTTATCAAAGCCTTGTGATGAACGCTCACCAGCGCGCCTGCCCGTTTTTTCCTATTATCCTCTGGCCGTTTGCCGTACCTGGCCTCACCTGATGCGGTGTGAGGCCAGGTATTTCCGATAGCGACCGCGCTACTCTGCGGGCGGCTGCGATATCCACTGTCCGCGCTCTGTGCTGGATTTTCTGCGAAAGCTCTCTTGCATCACTCTATGTGGCACCTATTGATCCCGATTCCCGGCTGGGAGCCGCTATAGCGAGCGGTGCGCTGGATGTGACGGGTTGAGTCATCTGGGTAGGCCTGTACCGACCTGTTAGCGCCGCTGGGACAGTTCCCGGAAAGGTGACCGCCGCGGAACTGGTGGTCTCTGTTGGTGGGGACACACACGGGCCGCGCAGGCTGCCTCTCCAGGCTCCAGCACCACTGTCTACTGGGGAAAGGAGGGAGCTTTTTCAGAACTGAGTGTGGGATTAGGGGCTTCACTGGTGGATGTAGTAAACACTGACCATATCGTAAACTTGATGAGTGTGTGTTGGGGTGGGGGTAGCCGGGAAGATCCGCTAGATATGGGATTTTACGGTCATAACCCGGTGACACCCTACAGCTGCAGTGATGAGCCATGGCACTGGGTTTCTCCTAAGCATTAGTTTTGTGCTCTGTTCTCTAGACTGTACGGGGAACTGCGGAGGGATGGGTATCGGACAGTTGACTGTGGTGACAGCTGTCACAGAGTGGTCTCATGACGTCATACCGGTGGGGTTATGACGTCATACCTAGAAACCCGGCCAATGGAACAGCGGGGGCGGTTTCCCGCGGTCCTGGGCGCCAACCTGGGATTTCTAACCGATACAGCTCGCTTCGACTGTATTTTGTGGGATTATTGCAGCATTGTCTAGCAGGTGTGGATTTATTTACAGCTTATCGCGTCCTATCTGTGGTTTCTGATGTAGGGCATTTCCCAGAATCATGAGTTAATGTATTTGTAGATTTTCATTTTGTTTATCTAAATTCGGACATTGCTTTTTGCATATTTAGATATCGTCCCTTTTATTGCACAAATGTTGCAGAGAACAGATAACAAATAATGTGAAGAATATGACGGGTAAAAAAGAATATTGATAATTTATGGGCTTTGATAATTCACATGCTGAGTGTCTCAAAACTCTGATGGCCAATGATCTTGTATAGTAGTTTGATTTTATTATTCCATAAACTTTGTAATTCTAACTGAGCAAAACATGATTAACGTAACTAACTTGAAGAAAGAACGATGTAATTGGATGACATTTGCAAGTGGTTATAACGGAGCAGGAAGAATGATATTCCGTTTGGAATCATTTAGGTACAAGAAAGTTATTCAGAAGTATTACAAAACCATACAAATGATCGTCCTGCGGTTTTTATATTATTTTTTTAGGACCTTTGCTAACGAAGCTTTATTTTAGTTATGTCGCCTGTCGGTACTCAATAGGCTACCCAGTACCAAATTAGTTACCCTTGACTTATCGATTAGCTTTGCTTGCATGCTGCTCTCTGACACATATATGATGCATTGTGTGATCAGCCGTAACGTCTGCCGTGCTGAGACGGGTCTGTTGCCACACCCCATTGTATTTATCACGGTGACTATAAATAGTATTTATTCAGTGGTATCGGCCCGCGGCAGCTGTGGCCTGAATCGAGGGAACTCCCGGCCACTCAAGTGCGGCTTATATTGTGTTGTCAGAAACAACGGGGTCGCATTTCACGTGGCACGGGTCTTTTTATGTACTGTGCTGTCACATTTGATGGATGTTTTCATTAAAGAAGTTTATCAGAGACGCGGAATGGGCCCTTCCCCGTCTATCCTTATATTTCCTTATCATGTTTGATGTTGTTGGTACTTTACATAAGTGGAGAGTCCCCTGCAGCATAAGTGACTCCCCGTCTGTAGATATTAACTGCTGCCATGCATAAAAAACATCGGGGGAGGGGAGGGGAAACAGTAACTACATGTGAGAACTATCGAGCGCAGCTGGTACCGGTAGCGCCCGCAGGTGGCGGTGCTACCTGCTCGGCCTTGCAGGGGGTTCCTGGGAGGCCGGCTCCCAGCTGACACGGTGCCGGCCGCGCGGCGGTGCCACCCGTTCACAGAGGAAGACTCGGCTCCTGACGCAGCGGCGCGGCCGCCGGGCCGGGCCGGGGACGGCCCGAGCCCACCACAAACAGCGGCTGTTTTCCGTCGGCCGCTTTTCCTGCATAGGTGATGAATGGCGATGTGCCGCCAGCCGGCCACCCTGCTGTGCTAGCTCGGCCGAGTGAGCTAAGCCGAGCTACGGGAAAGGCGGCCGCAGCTTATTGTGAGAGTGGCGGAGCTGTTTTGACGGTCTGCTTTCGCTCGACGTATAGACGCTAAATCTGAAGTGGCATGGGCTTACCCATGACAGGTCTCACAGGCTGGAATGAAGAAAAAGAAGTCAGATGTTCCCTCAGCAAGCTTATTCCCTAACCACAGCTCTGAGTATATTTCCAGAAGATGTTCATTGTTCAGCATGCTGGAATGATGAGTTTAACTCCTTCTCCATTTGTTTAACCGTTTATTGTTAAAGCTGCTTTCATTCCTCTCTCGTCTGGCCTACGTGAACATTTTTGAAGAAAAAAGGTGCTTGAAGTCGACGCCTAGCCCGTAATGGCTCATATAACATATAACTTGGAAATGTTATCCATGGAAGATTGTTTTCAAGGATCGGAAATACTTGTAGGTACAGACTCAGCAAAAACTTTGTATCATCCGCTCATTAACTGACAGTTGATCGAGACTCCATTATGTCCTATATCGTCGGAAATTGAAGAACAAGGATGAACTGAAGGTAACTGTTCCCCTACTTTCTTACCATCACAGCTTAGCAGCGACATTGCGAGACGGAATGCAGCGAGCACTGATCACGTGTAAGGTAATTGAAGAAAATATGCCTAAGCTACCAGCTTGGGACGGAAATTCCCAGTCTGAGATAAGCATTTGGGAAACGAGGCCACCTAAGACTAGATTTGGGCTGTCCGCGGAGCATCTCGGGGCGGCAGCGGCCCACCGGGCCTGGCCACCGGCCCTGGCCCATTTCGGGCGATAGGTACTCCAGGCTCGGAGTTTCCTGCCGCCCCAAAGATAGGCGCCCGGCTTACCCATCCCCCTCGCATAACGCCACGCTTGCCGACAACGGTGAGCTCTGGTGCCGACTAAATAACGTCAAGCTGCCGACAACAGAGCTGAACGTTGCTAGCCCTCGCATCCCGGTTGATACAATAACGATCGTCTCTTATGACAAGCTTCTGGTCTCAGGATGTCTCCTGCAAGCTGAGCGGGCTTCTAATCTAACTCCTGTCCACTTAGTCGAACGATCCGACTGCAGGGGAACAACCGCATCGGAGGCATCCGCCGCGGTGCCTAAATATAGCTGTCGTGCACCGTCCGGCCAGTGACTGAGCTGTTCGGTCCAATCACGACGTGAGTTCAGCACGTGTTCGGCCGATTGGAGAGCGTGGTCGGCGGGCCGTTAGCAGTCAGTTTTCGGCGACCGTGAGCGGTCATCCCGAGCGGGCCGGTATCGGACGTGATCCCTTCCCACCTGCTCTGCCTGCGGCCGGGGAGCCGCCGAAAATCCCTGTGCAGACCACACGGCGGCCAAAGGAGCAGCTCAGCGGCTTCAGTCCCGGCTCACTGGACACTGAGTCCCGGCGGAGGCGCGTGCGCCGCACCCATCAACGATCGGACTTCGGAGAGCGCGCCAGGGTCTGGTCTGGTGTGCTTCGTCTGGGGCTCAATCATGAGCTGTATGGTTTCGTTTTTGCTATTATACGGCTCCCTAAAAATCATTAAAGCGAATGTTGTCTGTTGGTAGATGCTCGGTTCAAAGCTCCATGAGGATTGAGGTTGGCGCAATGACTTACTTATCAGCGATGTTTTTATTTCCCTTGGTGATGCCCATTTGCAGAGTCGTTCTGCACTGGGGGTGTCAGCAGCAGCCGACTTCTATTGATGGAGCGCGGAGAGGCTACAACGGAACTTCCTCTTTCGTGATCAGCCGCGCCGGTCCAGCTCTTTTTCAATTAGATAGCTCATATAAGAGCGCCGTGATATCTGCTCATGCACATGTCTGCTGCGGGCTTAGTCGAGATGCCAGGCGGGCACAACGGTCGCCGGGTCGGAAAGTCCGCTGCGCTCCGCCAGATTTGACTATCCGCTGCAAGCTTAGAGACTACTTGTATCGCAGCTATCAAATGAATCGCCGCGATTATATCCATGTGGCACGTTTATGTGGGAACTTCCCAAGATTGGTATCGGCAGGTGTTTGACCCCGCGTTGCCGTCAGATTGCTGCTCGACAAGTCTAGCAGCTTTCGCGGCTCTGTAACACCATTTGATTTTTATCCCAGTGGATGCAGAAGAAATGGGTGTTTGATTGCGATACAGCATGCAACAAACAGCTGTTTTGTGCAGGGCTGTTTGGTAGGTACACCTAGGAATAACATAGGTATTTATAACATGGGGGAGGTGGGGGGGGGGGGGGGCGGAGTTCCGGACGACCTCCCTAATAATTTCACTTCCCTAATGCAGCCTAATGCATAATGGTCGACATTTTTGTGTTGGACCACCAATCCTGAGAACCTGGTGGAGCCCTTGAGAAGTCTACAGCTCCGTCACTTTGTACTTTGCGGTCGTGGCAAGGCTCGCCACAGTGGGCCTGAATAAAGTGCGTGCTTCTGTATTACATAAAACAATGGCAGGGTGCATGTAGCAATGACGTGAACGTGGTCGGTAAAGTCAGAGATGACATCATATGCTGTAAAACTTTGTCAGGTAAGT